ACCACTCAGCGAAGTTACGACCATTCAACAATTGTGCCGTAACTTTTTGAGAGATCATGCCCGGTAATGCTGGTAATGCAACTGTGCTAGTAGGCACTGTATACTGGTCAAACATAAAAGTGGAAGTACCCATAGATGTCTCAACGGTAGAGGTGTCAACAGTAGGGTTCTCAAGTCCCTCAGTAGTAGCCATATCAACAACAATACTAGGGCACCCGTAACAGAAAAATAACTCTAAGATAAATAGAGGAATAAAATAAGGGAGAACAATATACCTTCAGTCGAACAGTAGCGACAAATAAGAAAGGTCCAAAAAACTCCCAAATAATCAAGTCACGGTGCCCAGAAATCCAAAATATATAAATAAGTGATCTACTGCATCAAGAGCAAATCAACAACCCCTCATAAAAAAAAAAAATCCTAGATATAACAGTGAGTTGGGTTTATTGGTTGGCAGTGGGCTGGGTATGGATTTAATATGTCGGTGGGGTGTATGTTGGGTATGGATTTAATATGTCGGCTGGACTGTGTTGGGTTGAGAATTGTTTTGGGTATGGATTTAATATGTCGGCTGGGCTGGGCTGTGTTGGGTTTATTGGCTGGGCTGGGCTGTGTTGGGTTTTAATATGTCGGTGGAGTTTGATGTAGGAGTTGGGTTTTAATATGTCGGTGGAGTTTGGTGAGGAGTTGGATTTTAATATGTCGGTGGAGTTTGATGTAGGATTTTCGCTTCAGTCGGTGGACTGATTCGGTGAACGGTCAGTTGTCGGTGCTCGGTGCTTTATGGTGATCGGTGATGTTGATGTTGGTTGTCGGTGGAGTTTGTCGGTGCTTTATGGCTGTCGGTGGTACCAGGCAGTAGCTTGTCTGGTTTTGTCGCTGGCGGTGTGGTCTGGTTCTGATGGGAGGCTGGGTTCCTTTGCTGGTTTGAGTGGGTCGATGGAATGGGCTGGTGTGTGGTTTTGTCGGTGGGGCTGCTGGACGGTGTAGCAGAGGTAGACGATTTTGGTTTGTCGGTTTTGCTGGTGGGCAGTGATGTCGGTGGCTGGTATGTGAGTTCTGTCGGTGGGGCTGCTGGACGGTGTAGCAGAGGTAGACGATGGAGTGGAGGCTTAAGTTAGAATTAGGGTTAGGGTTAATGGCTCTGATACCAACTTGAGATAGTTGTGAATGAAAAGGGATACTCAAATTAAGAGTAGAACCCCGTATATATATCCAAAAATAATACAGAGTGACTTAAACATCCTTGTAGTTTAGGCAAAATATAAAAATCATAGTAAGGGTACAAAAGGGAAAAGAAATCCTAATAAACCTAGACTATCTATACTCCAACAGTAATCATACACAAGCAAAACACGTTAGTATTTGGTCACAAAGAACATGATGAGAAAACACAAACACGAAAATAATCAGGTCAACTCGCAATTCGACCTTTTGAACCAATTATAGATCACGCTACAAGTCTTACTTCCTCTAATTCCGTAGCAGAATCTAACTTAATGCATTTAATGCCATTGCATGATGTCTATTGAGATCTATACATACTTACTCCAGAACATCATTCTGAACATCTGTAAGCAAAAACTCGACTAACACTATTTCGTTCACTGTTAATGGTATGGTTATATAAGGTTGATGTTGTATGATTGATTTTGACATCCATGGTAACATTGTATGCTTTTTTAGTGTAATTGTTCTTCTTTCTTTAATTCTTTTGTTCTTCTTCTCTTCCTCCCTTTCTGAAACTCAATTCCAACAACTTAAAGAAGTATGATTGGAAGTTCAATAAATTTGTCAAATCTACCAACATTTTCAATTTTGAGTACCATAATCAATCTACACCTCTTAGCTAAAGAAATATAAACGCTCTAGTATCAAAATTGTGCCTACTTATGACCAATATATATGTACATATATTAAAATTTTTTCAAAATCAGTCTCATATTAGTGATTTCGAATAACCAATTCCTATAGTTATATTTGAATGAGTATTGAGTAAAGTTTAATTACTGACTTAATAATTGTGTCAATATTTTGACTCACGTATGAAGAATTAGTATATATAGTAGAAAATTCTTCAATAGTAATGCTTCTTTTGTTTTTTCAAATACTTCAAGCTGATATAATTCTCTTATGCTCCGTTTGATATGATGGAAAAATAGAATGATTGAAAGTTGGAATGATAGAAAGTTGTAGGGATAAATAAAATATCATGTTTGGTAAGGAAGGAAAATAGGAAGGGTGAAAAAGTTGATGTATTAACTTTTTTTCTAACTTATCAAAATCAATCTCTCCAAAATCGGAAGGAAAATGGATGAAAATTTAATTATTTGTGTTGAGATATATATTATTTGTCTATATATCTTTTAACATATACATATATTATGTATATATTAATTTCATATAAAAATACATGACAATATTAATTTCATATAAAAATACATGACAATATTAATTTCATATAAAAATACATGACAAAATATGTATATATATATATAATTTAAAAATAAATCTTAAAATAAAAAATAAAAAATAAAAATAAAAATTTTAAATTAAAATAAAAAATTCATCTTAATTAGGGGTGAAAATTTTTGACTCAACATGATGATACGACTCGAACTCGACACGAATTTTATGACACGAACTTGATTATAATTAAAATGACCTGACACGTGAACAAGAAATATAAAATGCTCATATTCAGTTTAATCAGTCAAACTCAAAATTGACACCATCAATTAAGTGAAAATAGAATATTAGCGTTAAATTTTTTGTTCAAAGTTTATGTGGGTTAACACGAATACGAATACAAATACGACACAAAAATAAATAGGTCAACTCGCATTTCGACAAGACAAAATTAATTAAATGAGTTTAATTAGGTTTGACTAATGTTTGACACAAACCCGTAATAACTCAACACGAATCTGACACGATACGACTCGATTGTCATCCTTAATCTTAGTCAGTACAAAAAAAAAATAGTCATTTTTATTTTTCATCAATCCAATCAAACACAAAGGAAAAAAAGTGTATCCTTTTGACTTTCTATCCTTGAAAGATAGAAAACATATCCCTCTTACTTTCTATTTTTCTTACTTTTCATCTTTCCTACCAAACGAAACATTAAAGTGTGGTCTTAATGTAATTGGAACGGTCTATTTATTTGCTTTCTCATAAGACAATGAATTTGTTGCAAATTAATGATTCCTTTTCATCCTCCAAATTCCTTCAATATAAAATCAAAAGTCCCAACTACATTAACAGAGGTCGCAATTAGAAAGAGTTAGCTAAAAGTCTAAGCAAGTAAAAAATCAGTTTCAACAGTAACAGTAACTGAGCACATACTGTTTCTGTGCAGCCATGTCAACGTGAACTTTTGGAAGAGCAATTCTGTTGATTCCACAAAATGAAGGTTGGAGCACCTTATATCGACAAAGCAACCATCATTTTTTAGTGTAGTTATACAGAGTTTGTAACAAAAAACATAACATTATCAGTGTAATTTATTATTACCCAGCAAGTGGGCTGACATACTCCATACATTTCACCACACTGGTATACGAGTCACCACTCGCACGAGACACTTGCACATTGCACTTGAACACAAGGCATACAAACAGGACACTGCCCACTAACATTCAAGTTCACTTCCCACATGCACACACTACGGAAACCCAAAAGTCCATAGACTTGTGGATATTTGTTTGGAAAGAAACAATTGGTAGCCATGGATCGTTCTAGAGAGACATTGAGAAGAAAGGGAAAAATCTGGGGAGAAGGAAATCGAGAATCTGTGTTGACTCTCAACATTCTTGATATCAACATTGCTCCCACAAAGAACAATTATTATATTTTCACAGACTATTGAAACCAAAAAAACGAAGAAGCTAATACTCAAAACCTCCTTTCTGTTTCCAATTCAATTCAACTAATCTTATATATATAGAATTTTTAAGAAACATGAAGTCTCAAAATTGATCAACGAACCTGCGGCAATCTCGATGCCATGTTTGAACGTTAGCTAAATATCAAATGGGATGTCACATCAAACACGATTTCACATTAGGGAAGAGCCAATGAAGAGGCAAAATGAAACAGTTCAGAGAAAGCGAAAGAGCAAAAATTATGAGGAAGATGAATAAATTAATTATTTAATTAATGAGAAAAGTAAACTGAGCGGCAAATGAAATAATTCTCAGAGTATTGTGTGGTCATGGACCAGTGAGCGGTACCCTGAAGGAAGAAAACATCAGCCGAGAACGAGAGGTAGATGAAGGGTGCCTGTGCGTTAACTTCAGCCGACAAATAGAGTTAGAGATGAAGAAGCACCAGTGACCGGGCATCACGTTAGGTGTAATGACCCGATTAACAGAGTTAGGTTTTAGGAGGAAATGATTGCATTATTAAAGAGTAAAAAAAATTTAATGGAGGTATATTTCTTTCTCGAGTAATATTTTTCCACTTCAACTTTCAGTTCATGCAGGGCATGCAAAGAAGAGAAATAATCATAAACCAGAATAGTTGCACAAATATGGTTATGCTTAATTACCCTAAAACTGGAGTACGCAAATTATGATCAATTTCCACAATGGAAGAAAAGAACACTGGTTGGGCTCGTTAGGGACCAGACCACAAGTACTTGTAACGCACAAGCACATAATTTATTTATTTTTCTTCTTCCTTTCCTTTCCCATAATCAACTTGATGTTCTTGTAGCCAACTTTACCACCAAAATAAACTCAATTAATCCTTAATTAAGTTCACTGTTTTGTGCACAGGAAATAAAGAATGTTCAGTTCCCAGCAGCACAGCACAAAAGTGGTAATAATGAGAAAACACAAATCAATAGGTAATATCTCAGCGACCGCATTCTTCCTGGCATTTCACACGCACCCCTAATAAGCATATGGAACACACATCCCTGCAATCATGAACCAGAGCAGCACTAACACGCCTCAACCATCCTTTCTTTTTCTTCTTGATTTCTTTTCTTGGGATTACTGAAAGGACCTCGAAGAGGCAACTGGCAAAAAAAACTTATCCGGAATCATGAGCAAACTAGTCAATTGTCTAGTGGGCTCATCAGCAACAGCTAGTCTTCTTTTGGGAGGATTTGATGGGTCACCTGCTCCGGAGATTGAACTCCTACTACTATGCATGGTGGCAGCATTACCACTTACTGATTGCGAGATCCTCAGCCTAATACTTTGAGTTGGAGTTGCAAAAGTTCCAGAAGACCTCCGATACATCTGTTTCAAGTTCTTGCTATTTTCTTTTTGAAGTTCACTCGGCTTTGGGTAATGGACAAGGGAAACGCATCGTGAAATCTTTCCAACTATCAAAGAGATAGAACAATATCATAAGAATGCATAGAAATTCACCTCGAGTAATGCTATTGAGACTTAATTTATTGATCTAATTTATTGATTTAATCTACTATGACTTTTGGATTGACTATGGAGCCTATTAAACATTAGAACTTGACGTTAATGCAATGATTCTATTAAAACCACGTCATTATGTTAACAAATTAGATCAAATTTTTAGGTCCAAATAATATTACTCATATACAACTTAACCAAAGTGAAAACAGGCATCCATTTGTCTCTCCTACATGAGAGCAGATAAATTTTTGCATGACTGATACACACCACGTGGACTGACCAACGCGGTGTGCTTATCCAATAGCATGCTGCCTTCTTATGGAAATGTCAGACAACTTTTCAAAAAAGTCAACTTAGCGTATATGTAAAATTTGTTAACGGAAGTTAATGTTAGAGTTAACGGAGCAAATATCAAAAAAAGGACACCAAAAAACCCAAATCTTTCTTTTAAAGATTTTTCAAATTCAAAAATTTACAACCAACCACTCCAGTCTCTCTCTCTCTTCAAAATTCAAAAATTTAGAACCCATTTCTCCATTCATATTTGTTGGTCTCTTTCTCCATATCTCTTCTCTCTTTGCACACAATTGTAGGAGAAGTGGAGACCCGATCAAATCGACATTGCTATATACACACACACAAATAGTACAAAGATCTATTCCAAAATTAGCTTGCTCTTTGTTTCTAAAGGATTGAGATTTGTTGGATGAAAGTCAACATTTCGTACTACGCTTTTTTTATATTCTAAAAATGTGTAATTTTGAGAGCTTGTGAGCCTCTGTTTTTACAGGAAGGAAGGTTTTAGTGTATTTGTTTTTGAATTTTAATTCACCTGTTTTTCTTTAAATTTTTGTAAAGGGACAAGCCATTAACTTCATTGCAAACTTCAGCTACTATTTTTGGATAACAAATTGTTTGTTTGGACAAGCTGAATTTTTGGGTTTCTGTTTCATATCAAAAGATTTGCAAGTATGATCATGTGTACATTAATGAAATTAAATTTTAACTAAAATAAGATCTAAAAAAAAAAATTCAGTTGAATTTCGGAATTTCAATTTCCATATTAGAAAGGCCAAAAAAATTTGCTGAGCCCAAAAACTTAAAAGAAGGGACAAAAATTCAAATTCAAATTCAAATTTGCTGAGCCCTAAGATTCTAGTAACTCATCAACCCTAAATACAACTTTCTCATTACCTCAAAAAAATAACAATAATACAACTTTCTCATTACACAACTTTTCCATTACTGCAAAAAAAAAAATAATAATACAATCTCATTAGAATGCAATCTCTTGTCCGCAACTAATTAAACAAAGGGCAAAGAAAATGAAATCAATTAAGGAATTCGAACTTTTTTTTTTTAAAAGAAGAATTTTATTGATGAAAGCCAAAAATTACAAGAATCAAAGAATTACAAAAATCAAATAAGCCAACATGTGGCTTTAATCCTTCAAAACATGACAAAAGGTCTAAATTTCTTCCTTGGCAGCTAACAGCCCTCCATTCAATCACCTTCCAAAGAACTTCCATATCAGCTCAACATCCTGGTCAAGGCAGCAAGGCTGTAAACAAAGCAGCATCTCAGAAACCGTCTGCTCACCCTTTCTCATCAAAAAAGTAACACATTCCTTGATCTAAGCACCGGAAGCCCCCTTTGATTCTGCATTAGGACCAATTTAGTACACCTGGGAAGCTGCATAGAAACTGAAAAATTAGAAGAAGCCCTATCAAGAATAGCCTTATTTGCTAAACCGTTTGCAACAGAGTTTGCCTCCCTAACAACGTGAGCCAACTGAAAACACATCCCCCTAAATAGCCTTTAATCTGACCAAGGTGATTCAAACAACTCCATGCAAATTCCATCTTCCCCAAAACCATATTTACCAAAACAAGGGAATTGCACTCGATGGAAATCCAGTGAGCTGCCAAACCATATTTAACAATCAATTCCAAACCATTCAATAAGGCTCTAAATTTTGCCACCATATGAAGGTATTAGAATATATATATATATATATATATATATATACACGTCATATTTACCAACATACGTGTGTGGGTGTGCATATTCAATTTCATTTTAGAGAAATAAAGAGGATTTTTACCTTGTTCTCCACGGATACAACCTGAGTATGGCTGGGTCTTCACCTTCTTTTTTTTTTTGATAAGTTGTTTTCCACCTTCACTGGTGATGTGGAAGAGATTTGGAGAAGGAGGGAGATATGATGGAGTTGTGTGTGTGAGAGAGAGAAAGAATAGTGATAGAGAGATGGGTTGCTTTTGAATTTTGACAAAACAGGAGGGAGATCTTCACCCGGGTTTCACGTCTCATTTTTCTTGAAGTTTGTTCTGTTACTTAAGGTGTTAACCATCGTCAGAGCAATTCCAAGGGGAGTTGCCAAAAATGGGGTGTCAAATGCCATTTTATAACTTTGAACAGTATTTTGACACATCTGAATAATATTTCTGCTCTAATGGTAGGTGCAAAAATGGGGTGTTATTTTAATATTTTAATATTTTTATTAAAAATTATAATTAAACTTAACGGTTATATTTTAACGGGTATAGTTTTCATAACGATCGCAATTTAACGAATATATTTTTATAGTAAAACTTTAAAATAATTAAATGGTATAATGTGACAATACAAAATCATTAAATGGTGTAATATGACAATACAAAAAAATTAATGGTGTAATATTACAATACAAAAAAATTAATGGTGTAGTTGACAATACAAAATAATTAATAGTGTAATATGACAATACAAAATAATTAAATGGTGTAATATGACAATACAAAAAAATTAATGGTGTAATATTACAATACAAAAAAAGTAATGGTGTAATTGACAATACAAAATAATTAATAGTGTAATATGACAATACAAAATAATTTTGGAGTAGAATGTGTCATTTCCCCTCAAATAAATAGTAGGCACGATTCCTTTCCTAGACAAACCCTTCATTCCCCTTCCCCTTCAATTTTAGTCTATTCCCGTGATTCAATCCCTTTCCCTTCCCCTTCCCCTTCCCCTAAACCCTAAACCAAGTCACCCAAAATTAAAACATATACTAGTGAGGCAAGGAGACAGCAACGAGGCAAGGAGACAACATATACCAGTGAGGTAAGACGATTTTCAGGCAAGCAGACACCTCCATCCCCTTTCCTTTTCTTTGTATTTTTATAAGAGTTTTGAGTTGAATATAGCCGTTGAGATGAACAGTAGACTCAACCGCTCTTTTGCAACCTCTCACATTCTCTCTCCAAAGTTTGCAAATTTGTCATCCCAAGCCCATAATTGTCATTTTACCACCCCAGATGCCACCCCCTTTGAAGTGAATTTTTTTGATTTTAGGGTGGCATTTTAGTAGTTAATGGTTTGCCACCCCAGATAGCACTCCCTATTGGAGTTGCTCTTAATGAAGCCAACTTAGTAGCTGAGTTGGCATTTCTGAAAAGATCTTTGACATTTTGATGAACAGGCAGCATTTCATTGGATAAGCACACCACGTTGGTCAGTCCACGTGGTGTGTATCACTTATACAAAAATTTCTCATGAGAGCAAATTAGTACACCTGATCAACCCCCTCTAAACCAAGTGAATAAAACCAAGAGAATAATTTGAGTGTGCTCAAATTTTATATCACTCCATATAACATCTCTCCCAAATGGGGAAAGGGTTTGCAATAATTTTTTTTTTTTTTTTTGATTTAGATGTGATAATCTATACACATAAACCTAGCGTAGGACCCAGGGATATATATGTCCTATGTGCAGGACATATATAATCTGTTATTTGGTGATTTGTGTGTTTTTTGGATTCTGTATGACCGCCGCCCTCTCTGTATTCTTTTTTGAGAATAGTGAAATTCATGCAGTTTCGTGGACGTAAGCAAATTACCGAACCACGTAAATTTTGTGTTGTGTGATTATTTGGATTGCATTCTTATCATTATTTTCATTAGTTTTACTTTATTGTCATCGTTTAATTTCACAACAGGAGTATAGTGTCATTTATGGCTTGTTAGATCGCGGTGGAATGGTTGTTATTTCATATTTGGAATCGAGATGTTTTATGTGTATCAATAATAGTTGTGGTAGTTTTATTGAAGTTGATCGTAAAACAGAGAATTGTGAGAATCTCTTTCAAGCAAGGATTAGGGTTCATAAGCCTCCTTCTAGTCTTTTGAAGACATTGTGGATCATTGATTTTGATGGAAAAATATTTTCCCATTAGAATGAGGGTTTTTGAGAGGACAAGAAGCCTTACTCGGAAGGAGTGATGGAGATCATTTTGAGGAGGTAGCACATACAAAAAAAAGGTACAATGGTCAGAAAGAAGATGAAGGAAGAGGGTTGGATGTGTACATGTCATGATGGGAAGAAAGGGGGCACATGAGTTGGATTTTGTCAAAGGTAATAATGGAAAAGAATCAATTACTGGTAAAAAGACATTAATTGAGGTGATTAATTATGGTAATTCTGCTAATTACTGAGATAAAAGAGACTTACATGCAAATTTGAATTTTAAAAATGCTTTAAAGCAAGGTTTGGATTTGGTTTAGAAAAATAATTCTGTGGGCCTTCAGAATGTGGGCTTTAATCAAAATTATGAAGCCTAAGCTATTAGGGCTAATCAAGGTGGGCTTAAAAAGGTGGACAAGTCTGGTTTAGGGTCGGAGAAGGCCCTGAGATGTTTTAGCCCTAAATCTTTTTCTTCCAAGATGAAGTCTTTTTGGGCTGTTATCCAACGATCTAGGAGTGTTCACCATACTCTACGAGTAGGAAATTTACTCTTCTATTTTTCTACCCGATACTTTGTAGAAGAATTCTTTATTGACATACCCTACTTGATCAAGTGTAGTATTCCTACATTAATTTCATCCAAATTAATTGGGTAGTAAGTTGGGTAGAAAATCGGGTGAACACGTTTTGTAATTATTAATTTTTGGATAATTTCACCAATTCAATTAAGTAACCTGCACCAATTTAATAGCACAATAAACCAGTAACACTAAAGTCTAAAACAATTACAATAAAACACAAGAAATCTCAAGGCATAAATATCAATACATCATAATTGTTGCACAAATACAATAACAAACTCACTATTTTGTGGTCTAAGTAATCAACATTTTATATACTATGATCACAAACAAAATCTCAGAAATTACTCCATCTTAGAAATCATAAAATCTCAGAAATCCACAGAGACAAACAATTATACATAAAATCTTGGAAATCATAGTATATGGCCCCTTTCTTGATCTCAGAAATGTGCCAACACTGACCACATATTGGATACTTTGATCTCAAAAAAACCACCAACAGTCCTAAGCAAAACCACCAACCAACAGCCCTAATCAACAGCTATACATAAAATCTTAGAAATCTAGTATATGACCCCTTTCTTGATCTTAGAAATGCACCAACACAGAGCACAGAGCCATAAAAACTTAGAAAAACCACCAATAGCCCTAAGGAAAACCATCAATAGACCTAAGCAAAATCACAAATCAACAACCCTA